ACCCAGAACTTCAGAAAAGGAATTTCTACTTTCTCACCTCCAGTTTATTTATACTTTTTTAGGCCATATTTACTCCTCTCTCTTTTTTTAAAAAGGTATATTTGTTATAGGTAGTTCTACTTCACACACATTTCCTCTTCCCTCTCACCCCTCATCCTGCTGTTGAAGAAACCACTGTCCTTGGATCTGTACTCATATGTGCCCATAAACAGTAAATACTAGATTTTGTGTTTTGAAACTCTGTAAAAAGATGAATATAATATATATATACTAGAGGCCCGGCATATGAAATTCATGCTCAGGTATGGTCCCTAGGCCTGGCCTGTCATCAGGGCCATCTTCCCTGGCTGCCCACAGCCAGCCCCGCCCCCTGCTGCCACCCACCCCCAGTCCCTGTTTGCCATTGGGCAATCGGAGTCTGCTAGACAAGGGGAGGAACCAAGAGGTTGGCCATTACCACCCACTCGCCAGCCCTGCCCCCGCCCCCACTGCAAGTCGCCCTCTGTGTGTGGTGCGACTGGTGGGGCAAGAGCCTTGGCCTGGCGCACTGCATGCGTTCCCTGCCACTTACCCTGGTTCCCCGTTTACCATTGGACAATGGGAGCCTGCCAGCCAGGGAAAGGGACCGAGAGGGGTCAGTGCGCCTCATAGTGACTGGTTGAGCGGTCGTTCTGGTTATTCTGCCATTAAGGTCAATTTGCATATTACCCTTTTATTATATAGGATGGTACCTTTCTAAAAACTTATTAGTACATGTACACTGAGTTTACTTTAAGCCCTATTTAGTCTTCCATTAGATGACTAAACCACTGTTTAGCCATTTCTCTACTGGGGACACATTTCCATTTCTTAGCTGTTACAGATAGCATTGCAGTTGAATATTCCCTAAGCATACTTTCAGCTCTTCTAGGTGCAGTTGGTCCTCAGCCCTCTGTATCCATGGGTTTTGCATCTGCAGATGCAACCAACCACAGACCAAAAATATAAATAAGTAAAGAGAGG